TTAAGAGGTTTGGTGATTCTCTCATGAAGTCCTAGGGACTCAAAATGTTTATCACCAAAGAACTTAGTAGGATAAGACTTCAATGCACATGCATGATCATGATTAGATGCATTATTTTCATAAAATTCAAAAATGGCAGAATCACATGCAGAGTCATTTATTTCAAAATTTTCGTGTAAATGGGCAGCAAATAAATTATCGATTACAGATATAGCAGAACAATCATCAACATCATCATCTACATATTTCATGGCTTTAAAAACACTAAAGGTCATAGTGTCATCATTTACCCTCATTGTTAACTCTCCTTTTTTAACATCTATCATTGCACCCCTTGTACCTACAAATGGTCTTCCTACTATAATAGGAATATTTTCATCAACTTCACAATCAAGGATAATGAACTCAGCTGGAAAAATAAATTTTTCCACTTTTACTAAAATATTTTTCACTTTTCCTTCAGGGTATACAATAGACCTATCAGCTAATTGGAGAGTTAATGTTGTGGGTGCAGATTTTATTCCTAATTGCTTAAAAATAGAAGCAGGCATCAAATTAATGTTAGAGCCTAAATCACATAAAGCTCTACCAATATACCTATCTCCTATAACACATGGAATAGTAAAAGAACCTGGATCCTCCATTTTAGGAGGTACTTTTGTAGAGACAATGTTGCTGCCTATGTAGCACCGATACGACACGCGACACGTGACACGACACGACACGACACGTCAATCCTAAAAAATTATGGATTTCGACACGTTGGGACACGTTTTAATATTAAATAATATTTTTAATTTATATAGTGTATATTTCATTTAATATTTAATAATTTAACAAAAAAATGAAACTAAATTAATAATACCCATCAACACGTTATAAAGATGGAAGCTTTAATAAAAAAATAAGAACTGGGATGAGAGAGATATAATATCAGATAGAGAGATCAAATCATATTAGAGAGATCAGAGAGAAGAAGATACAACAAGAGCGTGATAGGAATTGACAACAATGATGCTGAGATGATCTCTTATCTACTTAAGGGAAAAAAGACAAAAAGATAAAATTGATATGATCAGGTGGAAGCTTTATTAATATATTTTAACTTTTTAAAAAAAAAATTTAAAAAAAATTTAAAAAAAAATTAAAAAAATTACGAAAATGCCATTTGACCGTGTCGGACACGGTCAAATTCGCGTGTCGGAATGGTCAACATGTCGAAAAAAGTCAACCGCGTGTCCGACACCGTGTCGGAGCGTGTCAGACCCGACTCTTCCTGTTTTTACAAGTGTCCGTGCTTCCTTGGCTGCTGCATTCTTTGGTAAGTGCCACTGTTTCGAACTCTTCTATTCTCCTCTTTCTTGATAGGATGTCCTTCATGAATTTGATGTAGCTTGGCATGTGTTGAAGGGCCTCCACAAATGGAATGTTGATCTGGAGTTGCTTGAGGATGTCTAAGAACCTTTTAAAGTGCTGCTCCTGGTTCTGTTTTTGAAGCCTTTGTGGAAATGGAATCTGCCTTGCCCTTGATCTTGGTGAAATGCCTTCATTTTGCTGCATAGGTTTGGCTGGCTCCTTTGATTTAGGTGCTGATTTTTCTGTTTTTCCCAAATCACCTTGCTCTTTGTTGTTTTCTGAGTCTTACACTTCAATTACATTAGGCTCTTCCTCTTCTTCAATTGGTTGAACATTTTTTTCTGCCAACTTCCTCAAGGTAGAAGGCCTAATAACATGCTCTGGTTGTTCAACCTCTCTTCCATTTCTCAAATGGAGAGCCTTACAAAATTCCTTTCCCTCTCTCCTTGGTGCTTCAGTATCACTAGGAAGAGTTCCCACCGGTCTATTGCTAAGAGAGGATGCAATCTGCCCCATTTGTGTCTCTGAGCTTTTTAAGATTGCTCCATGACTTTGAAACATGGCCTCATGATTTTGTAGCATCCGGTTTGACCACTGATCATTAGGAAGAGGCTGAGTTTCTGCATTAGATCTCCCTTGCTGATCTTGAGGCATTTGTGAGTTGAAACCGGGTGGAAATGATACTTTTGGCTGATAAGGTTGCTGCCCTCCTTGGAAGGGCTGATTCTGATTTCTATTTCCAACATTTTGATGGTAATTTTGGCCCTAATTCTGGCCAAAATTCCCACCGTGTTGCTGCCATCTGCCTTGGTTATAATTTCCTCTATTATTGTAGTTTTTGTTATAGTCACCAACATAGAAGGCTGAAGAGGGGTTGCTTGGGCATTCTTCGAACAAATGAGCTCCATAACAAAGTGAGCAGATTGGTGTTGTTGCAGCCACTTGAGCAGGTGGTTGCTGTTTGGTCTCAGCCATTTGCTTGACTAAAACCTTGAAAGTGTTATGCATTGCTGCCATCTCAGCTGCCATGGAAGTTATTTCAGTCACTTCATAAAGTCCAGCTGCCTTCTTTGGAGCTTCATCTCTTTGTTCAGGCCATTGGCAGCTGTTTTGGCTTATCCTCTCAAGTGTCTCAAAAGCCTCTGGATACCTTTTCAATAAAAACATTCCATTGGCAGTGGCATCCAAGTGAGTTTTGCCTTGGTGACTCAATCCTCTATAGAAAATCTGAATGGTAGCCCACTTAGGAAGACCATGGGTAGGACACTTTTTAATCAGCCCCTTAAATCTAGTCCAGCTCTCATGGATTGACTCATCAACATACTGTCTGAACCCTACTATGTAATCCCTCAAATCACACACCTTTGTGGGTAGGAAAAACCGAATAAGGAAGGCTTCTCCAAGCTCCTTCCATGTGGTGATGGACTGTGCAGGAAAATCTTCTACCCATTCTTTTGCTGCCCCAGCTAAAGAGAAGGGAAATAGCCTCATTCTCATGGCATCTGTGGACACTCCATGAACAGAAAATGTATCGGAAATTTTCATAAATATTGTAATATGCTTGTGAGGATCTTCCTTGGGTAATCCATGGTATTGAGTCATGGATTGCAGCAGCTGTATCATCCCCGGTTTGAGATCAAAATTCCCCTCCACTCCAGGCTGGACTATACCAGGAATTACTCCATCAAGTGATGGAATAGCATATTCAGCAATGGGAAGCTCTTCATCCACCATAACTAGAGCATGGTTGACATTCCCATTGCCATTGATGTTTTCTCCATTAACAGATCCATGGTTCGATTCTGCCATCTTCAAATATTCGGCAACAATTGTGTAATACTGCTTGTTACTGTAATCAAAATTGAATTCTGCAGAAGTCTCACAAGAACTTGAAATTGGAGTCAGTAAATAACAAGAAAAATATGTAAAAAGGAAAAAGATTCAATAAAATAAAAATAAAAATAAAAAATCAAGAAGTCTAAAACAGAATCACAAAAAGAAAATAAAATCAAACACCGTTCCCCGGCAACGGCGCCATTTTGTTGGGTAGTAATTTTTCAAAAGAAAGAGTTATCGTTCTCGGGGAACGGTTTGTTTAGTTTTCCTTTTTTATTCCTATTTCTAATTTCTTGAATTTAAGTAATCAATCTTTTAAAACTAAGAAAAGACTAAATGAAACAAGGTATTTATCAGACTTGTATTAAACAAAATTAACAGAGGAATATCTAATTACAAATGTAACAATTATACGGTACTGGAATTCTTGAATCATGGATGAAGGAAAAATTTCGCATTCCAGCGTTTTATAACTGCTACAACACTTTAATATCAGAATTTGAACTACTATGGCTATTTTAGCTGAAACTTCCCAGTTCCAGTTTTAATCTTTAGAAGGATCTTTTCCCAAAGTCTTCTAAATCTTTAAAATTATATCAAAGACCTCCTTGGGTTATCCCTAACCTCCAGGGTTCAATTAACAAGGGACATAACCTGATTTCCCAATCACAGTTATGCAAAAATATTCCAAGATCCATTCCCATGGTGTTCTTGGACTTAAATAAAAATCTTGCTAATCAAATGAAAATAAAGCAAACAATCACAGTATTCAGAAAAATAAAAGATCACCCAATCATCGTGAATCCCAGAAAAGAAAAGATTAGAAACCCATATTCAGAAATATTGCAAATCTAAAAGTAAAGAAACATGCATTACAAATATTCAGTAAAGAAAACTCAAGTCAAGTTACAAACCGGTTCTTCAAGATTCAAAGTTCCTAAACTAGAGCTAGGAAGAAAACGTGCAGAAGTATGAACACAGTAGCTCGCATGCAAATCCGTGATTCCTTTCCTTGAAGGTGCGTTGTCAATGCACTTCGAGTACAAGAATTGAAGAACAAGCATCTAGCTTTCAAGGATTTTCTCAACACTCAGATTCGAAGAAAAAGATTACAAAGATTCAAAACTAAAAACTGAAACTAAAAAGAATGGTGTCTGACCCTAATGACTCAGATTCCTATTTAACTAAAAACTAAAAAGTTGCCTCAAAATGCATTGCTGTCCATCCATCTCTTTGTCCATCCAATGGTTCAGATTTGATCTTGCTTTCAAAGAGTTGATCATATGGCTCTGTAATTGCAGTAAAAATAGTAAAAGAGAATAGTAAATCATCAAATTATCTCTTTTTTTTTTTTTACCTTTGGGCTGATTGGCACTCATTTGGCCCATTACTATGCACTAATATCCAGCCTTCAACTCAAATATTATAAAAACAAAGCCATTAAAATAGTCATAATTTGTAGCTAACAATATATATATATATATGCATGCTGCTAGGCTTTTTGACCCTTTTGCCCCTAATTAAATAATTAATAACCAATTTGCCCCTCCCCCAGAACTATCCACCATCCTGCCCCCATTTAGTCGATTAAGTTGCACTTTTAATCGACTAAATGGGCTAAACTCAGAAATTATGAAACGCGAATTTTAGTCGACTAAAAACTCACCTTAATCGACTAAATTGTTTGCACTTTTAGTCGACTAAGAACATTATTTAGTCGACTAAATGTCGCAGATCAGGTTTTTTAAAAATCCCCCCATTTCGCAAAGGGGGTTATTTTCAAACCCTAATCGACTAAATCGCTCCATTCCGTCCCCTCTCTCCAACTAAGTCCGAATCTCAACCCTTGAAGGTGCGATTGAAGCTTCCTTGGTTCACACTTGCGAAATCGACATTTAGGTAACGTATTCTGACTTGCATTTGGTTTTAAGTTTAGTTTTTTTTTGTTTTCTCCATGCATTTGATTTCTGTTTGCGGTTTTGTGGATTTAGGTTAGGGGTAGGGTGCTAAGTTTGTTGTGAGGGTGAGGGTTTGGGTTGATGTGGTGCCTTAGGCTTAGGGTTAAGGTTATGTTAGGGTTAGGGTTAGGGTTTATGTTGCTGTTTTGTTTGGGTTGTAGTGTTTAGGGTTTAGGAATGAGTTTTTGTGTTCTATTTTAGGGTTAGGGTTAGGGTTTAGGATTAGGGTTTCTGTTTCTGTTTTAGGGTTAGGGATAGGGTTTCTGATTTCTGTTTTATTTTAGGATTAGGTTTTGTTTTTTATATTGAATTTTAAATTTTTTGATATTGTTATTGTTCATTGATTTTTGTTTCCACTTGCATTGTAGGTACAGTTGTTCCCATGACTGGCCGTAGAAGATCGTCTAGCACTGGAAATGAGAGACGACAGAAGCTACGACAAGACCGTCCGTCTTCGTCAAGGCCACAAGAGGAAAACCCCGCTGCTGTCGACC